CCTACCTTGTTAAAGTTGGATTCGGTTTCTAATTCAATACAGTTTGGTTTTTTATTCAAAAAGGTTTCAGTATGTCTGTTCGCGTGGGAACATGTCTGCTACGCGCGCACGTGACTGCTCTTGTATGTCACGTGACCTACTCGTGCTAGCGCATCTACGCGCTATTAGACGAATTTGATGTCACGTGACTGAGCAGTGTACTAGGTGGCAGTTGCCTATACCGGGCCGACTCTAATTAGGGATCGCTTTCACTTTCACGTTTCCGTTTCCGCCCCTCTGCCTGGATTTCCGCTCACTTCCTGCCCAGCCACATAATTGTTCGGAGCTCAGCGATAACGAGATGTCTGATTGTGACCCTGATTATGTTCCAACCCCCTCTCAACTTCCCGACCAGGGAGACTCCGATTTTGATCCGGACATTGATAATTTGTGTAGTGTAGCTGACCGTCGTCCTTTCTGCCCCGGAAACTTTGATGTTGGAATATCCGACTTGATCCCCTCCACACAGATTCCTCAGAGCACTCCAAGGTCAACCAGGGCGAGCACTCCAAGGTCAACCAGGGCGAGCACTTTGATCTCAGCACACGACCGTTCTGTCAGCTTGATGAATCAGGCTCTGTTGAATGCCTCCCATGACTCACTATTCCCTCGAGAAGAATTATCAGAAGATAGTGCAACTGGACAGTTCTCCATTTCAAACATTCTGTATGGAAAGAAGTCAACTCCCCCATCTGATCAGACCCCATCAAGTTCAACTCGGACCCACTCTGCAAATCGAGAGCTTGAAATGGAAAAGATTGTTTCCCGGTTTCTCACCAACACCGTTCCCGAAAACACCCTGAAGAAAAATGTGACTGCATTGAATGCTTTCAGAGACTTTGCGAAGACGGACGAAACAGTTAAATCCCCGTGGGAGGAGCTTCCTCTTTCAAGAATGCCTAACGCTTTAGTGAGGTTCGTCGCCGCCAGAGGAGAAAACTATGACCAGCGGACTTTCCACAGTCTACTTGGAGGTTTGCTAATTTTTTATTTGATTCTTCAATAGCTTGTAATTAAGATGACATCGTACTTTTGAACAACATTCTGTTGAATAGTAAGAGTAGGATCATTATACCAGTATGCAGTCTAGCAGAACAGATTCTCTTTCCTGTTTTTTTAATCCATTTCACGTACACATGTTAAATGCAGTACATGTTCAGATCTTTCCATATTTTCAGGTCTGAACCGAGTACTAAGAGCGAGATGTGATGACCAAGGTGTAACAAAAGAGGACTACAACATCTTCAAACACAGACGCTTTAGACCGTTTCAGCTAGTTTACGACGGGTACGTCAAAGAGAAACAATACTCAATGCCGGCTACACTCAACCAACCTGATCACCTCACTTCGGAACAGCTGACGCAGCTACTGACTGTACTTGGATCCTCTTCTCCCGAACAGCTGCTCACCACTTTAATCTTTCTCACCACGTACACCTTCGCTATCAGGTCAGTTGGAGCAGTCGTTAAATTTGAGGATTTTTCTAACCTATTACCAAAAATCTGACGATAATTTTGCTGACCTATCTGATATTATTGCCTTGCAATGACGTCATTCTTACGCTTACTGAATGTGATCATCTTTCAGAGGAGGTACAGAGTTGAGTTACATGACTCCAGAGAACTTCACCTTCAAGTTGACAGATAAGGAGGTGGAAACCACATACATTGAAAACGCTGCTAAAAACAGACAACCAGGCATGAAGAACATCAACCATCAAAGAAGAACAGTATCTCACGTGTCCAAACTCTCTGACAGAACCAGTTTCTACCACTACTACAACCTATAATACCTGGATCGCTGTTGTCCAAGCATGAGAGGATCACAAATCAAGTTATTCCAGCACCCTCTCAAGTTAGCTGCTGCTGACGCGGAGAGACACACGATTTGGTAAGTTTATTACCAACTCATTTCATCTTCGAATCACTTTCCTTTTCATTCTTACTACTTTGTATTCTATACTCTGACTCAGTACCAAAAACTAAATATTGGATACATGCAACGATTTTAAATAGTTAGCCTTCCTGACTACTGATTTCAATCTACTTTTTATACTTGCAGGTACGGAAAAAAACGAGCTCTGGGACGGAATTACTTCAACCTGCTTATCAAAAAGTACTACGAGAAGGCAAGCCTAGGAAAACACGGAGAAAAGCTTTCCCTCAGATCGTTGAGAGCTACAGTCACCACTCAGCTGAACGAGCAGGGAGTGGACGACAATGTGATAATGGCTAGAACTGGACACAAAAGTCAGGCTGGTCTCGACAGGTACAAGCGACCTGGTCTCACCAAAAATGTGGCTAGAGTGTCGCAGATTCTCACTTTGGACAGCCCTAGAGACTATCGAGAAAGAATGTTAACCATTGCCCTCATCTTAATCGTTATTCTGGTTACCTTTATACTGACCCGTATTTTAAACTGAACTGCCGAACTGTTTAAAATGTTTTACTTGATCCCCGTTATACTAGCTGGTAGAAATGATTGTTTTTAAACTGCTGAAAGGTTCATGATCAATACTTCAATAGAATTGTTTTGTGATTTCACCTGACTTTTATATGAATTGCTTAACCTTGTGAAATTAAAATGTTTCATTTATTCTCCTTATTCCTGAGACAGGAATTCAAAAATGTAATACTCGACTGCAAAATGTAAAATTTGTCTCTGGCAACGGCTATAAAACTACGCCTGTGGTTTATAAAACTTAGTAAATGATCATCTAATTAGTGGCATTACAACTACACTTGAGAAGCGCCCGCTCATGGATATACACGATATCATTCCTCGCCATGAGGGCGGAACTATCGTATAGCACTCGGGCCCGTTGGGCCCTCCGTGCTATACGTAAATATCTCCTCCTCGGGCTGGCGCCCTCGTGGAGATATAAAATATTGCCCGCGCACGCGCGTGCAATATTTAGAACCGCCCTCAAGGCTGCGGTGATATCTATATATATATTACGTTGAGTAAAATATCAAATTCATAACATCTATATTAGTGGTAGACGGTATAGTTTCAAAACAAAAAACAGGGCAAAATTTCTTTCGGGAACACAATAGAATTACACGTAAAATTCCGGCCTAAAATTTCAAGAATTATTACTCGAAATAGCTTGAGCAATTATGGAAATGGAAATCAGTTGAAATAAACAATGGAGCGTGTATGGTGTATACTGTATAAACATCAACTCTAGACTTACAGTCGCCACTAATTGTTGCAACCATGCGGTAACACGTCACGTGTTCAATGTCAGCCAATCATATTGCACTGCGTGGTATAGGGACTGAGGACGATAAGTGATATTGTGCATTCCTTGAGCCGTGGGAACCATTAAGATGTAGTGTCAGTGACATAAATATGGTGTACGTGTCTTGTAATAGTTAAAGTTTAATAGCTTAGGCCCCAAAAATTTGTTTGAAAGTGAAAGTGCTCCGGGCTGTATTGTTACTTGTCACGTTAAGTGTCGTCTGCTCGCGTGCTGTATTTTAAGCGGGCTGGACGCGCACTGTGTCTTGTTACATCGGGCTGCGAGAGGTCAGAAGACAAAATATAGCCCGCTGGTGGATATATTATCTTTCGCTGCAAATTCACCGCGATTTTGCCTAGTTTGACTTGTCCCGGCGCCTGTGAGCGTATAGACCGCTCCTCTATCGTTGTTTTGAGTGTCCGATCCAAACCAAATCCTAGGGTACACGAGACGTGGTAGCCTGTGAGCGTATCATCACGACAATTATTGGTCACTCAAAATCGATCCGTTGTTTCTGCGTATTTATTACCTCTGTTGATTTTATCGTTAAAACATGGATTTTAAGGCATAAGGAAGCATTGTTGAGCTCTGAAACCGAGTTTAATCGATTTCTCGTGCAATCTTACGTCAGTAATGATCATCAAAATAAGTTTATAACAATGTCGATATTTTGGTAAATTTCTAGCTTTCTGTCAGAAAATAAATTTACGGTTTCTATAATATGGGGTAATTAGATATAAACTACAGTACAGCTGTACTTACACCCACATTCACAAGCATGCAAGCTCACTTGGTCCAATGAGCGGGAAACGGAGAACAAGCTCTGGTGACGTCACAGTCACGTGACCTCAAGCTCATAATCACGTGACCTCAGACCCAATCAATTTGGTTCTGGCCTGGTCAGCCCCCTGTCACCCGATCTTGAGGTGACGTACGACACCTCGTCAACCCAATCAATGTCTGGAAAGCTGCAAATTTTAACATGCCTAACTCACAAGGGTCTTTATACGGAGTTGTGCGAGATGACGATACATAGAGGCCGCAGAATTATGAGGACTACCAGATCCTGGTGGAACCTAAGCAATCCATGATATCATGACAGGCCCTATAGTCGGAAGTCGATATGAATTTAAAACGTGCATTAGGAGTTTTCATACTGGGTAATGGGAGTCCCTACTCCCTGGCAGCTGATATTGCATTTAACAGAATTTCGTTAAATATCAAATGGGGTGTCTCAAAATAAATGTTAAAGCTAATTTATATTATTTAACTTACATTTACCAAATTATTTTACACAGCTATTTATAGTTCTAACTAGTTATTTTTTATTTGAAAATTCAATTAATCATTATATATATAAATCAAGCGTTACATTTCAGCCATGCAAAATTACAATGACATATTTTGATTACTAAATGATAAATGGTACTGCAATATAAGTTGCTTAATGTTTGGCCGGATGACAACTAACGAGAAAAATAAACTTGATTATATAATAATTAATTCGGCTGAACCAACACATAGCAAAAGCCACATTAACGTTGGGGCCGTCAAAAGAAGGATATGAAGTTTTTAACCACAGTTATACTGGTCTGCCTCATCATAGTAGCAGTTCAATACCTGCCATCCATCTCTGCCGAACTTAATGATGAAATATCTAATCAAGATTCAAGAAGAGCCCCAAGGCCAAAAAGAGTTGCACCAAATTCTGATCGGAGAAAGAAATGGCGAAGATGGAAATTGTAAAACGAGAGCGCCCGAGGTTTCGTTTTGGCGTCTAAAGTCGCTCAAGAAAATGAAAGGGTAAGGGTGGCTTCTAATTTTTATAACGCTAATTTGAATTGAAGGTACGAAGGATCAAACAAATTCACTAAATACCAATTTAGTGGTCAGAATGAATTATTTCAGGTAAAAATAGAAGGAGTTGGTGTTACAGTGTCAAAGAGATCATTAAACATTTATAAACGGACAAGCTATTTCACGTGTTTACTGTTTGTGTTTTCTTTATTAAAATATCTTCATAGTGTTTTCGGGAATTAAGTAATTAGATTTATGCATTACCACATACTAGTTTTATTTATCAATTCATTTGCATTATGTACCATTTTACTCTCGCTAAGTCATGCCTAAAAACCTAACCTTAAGATATTAAAGGCAGAATAACCGAGGATCTAAAGAAAGTCTCATTTACTGATCGTACTATGTACACAATAATTAGTTAGAGCAGTGCCAATTGCCAAACATACATTTTCTCAAATTAAAATAAAATTCAGTAATTACGATTTGTTTTCTTAGTCACCACTTTTAAAATGCGCAAAAATTGAGCTAACAATAAAGTTGTTTACAATTTAAATACCTCAATTAATTTACATACCTGGAACAAACTAGCCAGCATGAGGTTACCCTGGAGCTCCGTCATCCGCAGCTTCCAGTTTGGATCCCAGGTTTGAGTCCCGTTATCTGAACAAGAATTACATCTATGATCAATGTTCATTCAACATGTACCACATATACGTTGACACGTATGCCTTTAAAAAAACACATTAAAAACACATGTTTTTACGTAACTGAGTTAATGTTGAGTTAAATTGACGATGACGATGGATATACATATTATATTGCACCGATTTACATAATCATTTCATAAAATGTAATATAATTTAAAAGATCTGACTTACTGCCATCCTCATCAATAACGTAGTACACATCCTTGCAGGGCTCTTTAGACAAAATTCCTTTTGCTACGGCAAAATAGACAAAAGACCCACTTTGAACGATAGGAAGTCGGGTTCCAAAGAATATCTGAAATTAGCATCATAATTATTCACCTTTACTTTTGTAAATATCAAAATAACGTGGCTTAATTTATGTTTTTTTACGAAAACAAGCTGCAACATATCTTATCAAATATTGCAAGTAAAGTCGAATTGAATTCTACCTAACGTAATTCAATAACTCATTAGTTAGTTAAAAACTAATTTAATTCTACCTGAACCATAGTAGCTAAGCCACACATAACAAACATCGTGTTTAACAGAATACCTTTAACGACCACGTTACCTACAAAGTTATTGAATATTTTAGAAATCTGACGGGGAACCAACAAATCTGTAACGGAGAAAAGAAATGTGAGCAAATATTAAATTTTATATTTTCATTATTTGTTGAAATGTGATCATACTGCTATACTGGTACAAATGTATAAAAGCATGGTTGTCAAAACTCACTTTCAACACATAAACTGGGGGCGAGAATAACAGCGATAGCAAAAGTAGAACCAAACAAGATGAGGTATTGTTGAAATCCTAGCAGAACGGACAGAAACCAGTTAGGGTCCTTACCAAGAGGGTAATTCAGCTGAAATTGGACAATTAGAAGGACTTGCCTCGATTACGATCGTAAGATGTGTCTTGAATTGGTGAGAAGAAATGGACCATTAGCCGAATTCATTGGTCTTACAGCGATACTCTGTTTTCAAGAGAGTCTTGGGAAAATTAAACCTGCTTCACTGTTAATCAGGATTTAATTTAAAACACCGAAAATATCATACAATTTGTAAATGAACTTAATTTAGTGGCGTAACGAACTCCGGGTATAGCAAAGTTCCATATTCTACCCGTTAGATCACACAGTAGATTGAGGTTCTACTAAATTTTATTTTACCTGTTTTCTGATAACTTCAAGATCATTTTCTGACTCATCTTGATCATCGTTTTTGATATCAATCTTCATTGGACTGCTGTCCTTGATAAGCTTGTAATCCTAAAAATAGTGATACTTCATTCTTCATATTATGAACATTATAGCCTGGGGTCCCCAGGTAAGAACATTCTACACGCCTAACTACATTACACTTCTCCCAATAACAACTTTTCCTTAATATCTAGTGAACTGTACACCTGCTAAGGTACCAAATTGCATGATACGAAGTGGCAAAAAGTGTGGCAAACTCTGAAAGTACTGAAACAGAACAGTCAAAATTATAAATATCATATAAGATATACGTCCAGATTATTGACAAAAAGGCGGACAATCAATGTCCACAAATTTTATCTAATATCATTACTATGAATTCATTCATCAATTTTTTCTCGTTTCGGTTGATTCGCAATTATAGGTCGGATTTGTAATCCCTGAATGTGAAAGCCTCGATTTAAGCAAACTCACGTAATTGGCTCAGTTATTAGCGGAAATATCGCACGATTTCCCCCTAAAATAACTTTAATCACTTGTTTAGACTATCTTTACTCGATATTTAATGGAAATATTGAGAACGTGTACCATTTCTTTTGATAAATTAATTTTAGACAAAGAATTGCGATGCTCTAGTGATTTCATCACAATTCATTCATCATTAATCCCTATTAATTCAATAATAGCAGGATCAGTACTCTAATTATAAAGCCAAACGAGGGTTTATTGAAATTTTATAAGCCTTTGTGTTGGTTTGGGTTCCTGTGCGAAAATGAAATTATATACAGAGTTTCTTTCCCTGCTCAGACTCTTTCTGTACTCTTTCTGTACTCTTTCTGTACTCTTTCTGTACTCTTTCTGTACTCTTTCTGTACTCTTTCTGTACTCTTTCTGTACTCTTTCTGTACTCTTTCTGTACTCTTTCTGTACTCTTTCTGTACTCTTTCTGTACTCTTTCTGTACTCTTTCTGTACTCTTTCTGTACTCTTTCTGTACTCTTTCTGTACTCTTTCTGTACTCTTTCTGTACTCTTTCTGTACTCTTTCTCCACTATTTCTCCACTCTTTCTCCACTCTTTCTCCACTCTTTCTCCACTCTTTCTCCACTCTTTCTCCACTCTTTCTCCACTCTTTCTCCACTCTTTCTCCACTTTTTCTCCACTCTTACTCCACTCTTTCTCCACTCTTTCTCTACTCTTTCTCTACTCTTTCTCTACTCTTTCTCTACTCTTTCTATACTTGTTCTCTACTCTTTCTCTACTCTTTCTCTACTCTTTCTCTACTCTTTCTCTACTCTTTCTCTACTCTTTCTCTACTCTTTCTCTACTCTTTCTCTACTCTTTCTCTACTCTTTCTCTACTCTTTCTCTACTCTTTCTCTACTCTTTCTCTACTCTTTCTCTACTCTTTCTCTACTCTTTCTCTACTCTTTCTCTACTCTTTCTCTACTCTTTCTCTACTCTTTCTCTACTCTTTCTCTACTCTTTCTCTACTCTTTCTCTACTCTTTCTCTGCTCTTTCTCTGCTCTTTCTCTACTCTTTCTCTACTCTTTCTCTACTCTTTCTCTACTCTTTCTCTACTCTTTCTCTACTCATCATGTTGCAAATACTTCGTACTTTATTTGCGCATACCTGCCATCAGTGGCGTAACGTTGCCTGTTGGCGCCCCCCTGCCGAAAAAAGCGCCCCCCTGTTGGCGCCCCTCCCCTTTTGGTGCCCCTCCCTAAAATTAAACAAATTAGGTGATTTTAAAGAATACGCCGGTAAAATCTCTAAAAAGTGTGTATCTAGAGAAAACGCGCAGTTTTGCTAGTACTTTAGTTAAGTTTTTGAAATTGTCCCACATTCAAACGACGATTTGGCGCCCCCCTAAGACGGCGCCCCCCTGCACAGCGGGGTCAGCAGGGCCTTTCGTTACGCCACTGCCTGCCATACCAGACAGAGCATTACAGAATTTCCAGAATTCCAGCTGTATTCTACACACTGTAATCTTATCCAGGGCTCAGACGATTATTAGTCATATTGCGACAGACATGTACCTCAGCTGTACTCAGTACTCAGTAAGTGATGCATCAACGTCGTTTAGATTTAGCTCAGCAATTGGGCAGAACACAATTTCCTCCGCTCAAAATAAGATTATTGGCCAATATATATAAATATCACCGCAGCTTTGAGGGCGGTACTAAATATTGCACGCGCGTGCGCGTGCAATATTTTATATCTCCACGAGGGCTCCAGCCCGAGGCGGAGATATTTTCGTATAGCACGGAGGGCCCAACAGGCCCGAGTGCTATACGATAGTTCCGCCCTCATGGCGAGGAATGATATCGTGTATATCCATGAGCGGGCGCTTTACAGTTTTCAACAATCATAGCAAATAGAAGTAAAAGATTTCGAACTAATTAAGCTGCAAATTTAATAGAAAATCATGCTTTAGCCTTTGGTTTAAGATGCAGAACAGGGCAACATGCGCATTACTGATTATATAACACAATAGAAGAATTGAAATCCCACGTACTATAATGGTATTACACACCAACCATATTGATGAACAGTCAACGGGATGTTAATCATTAACATAGATTAAAAATTGTGTATCTCCGTCAATCCATACTACGAGTAACACAGAATTCCTGTTACCATGACAACACGTCAGATGTACAATGAGAGTTAATCAGTACACAGTGTGTAGGGCCGGTCAAACAATAAATTCAGCTTAAACTATCAAAAAGAGTGCTCGCCATAACTTTAACAACTGTGTAACTATAAACTGAATGCCATCTGCAGTTACAAAGAGAGCTCAAGATAACGAAGCACGAAGGGACATTGAATATATAATATATATATATATTTTACGTTGAGTAAAAGATCAAATTCATAACATCAATATTAGTGGTAGACGGTATAGTTTCAAAACAAAAAACAGGGCAAAATTTCTTTCGGGAACACAATAGAATTACACGTAAAATTCCGGCCTAAAATTTCAAGAATTATTACTCGAAATAGCTTGAGCAATTATGGAAATGGAAATCAGTCGAAATAAACAATGGAGCGTGTATGGTGTATACTGTATAAACATCAACTCTAGACTTAAAGTCGCCACTAATTGTTGCAACCATGGTAACACGTCACGTGTTAAATGTCAGCCAATCATATTGCACTGCGTGGTATAGGGACTGAGGCCGATAAGTGATATACTAGTGCATTCCTTGAGCCGTGGGAAACATTAAGATATATGTAGTGTCAGTGACATAAATATGGTGTACGTGTCTTGTAATAGTTAAAGTTTAATAGTTTAGGCCCCAAAAATTTGTTTGAAAGTGAAAGTGCTCCGGGCTGTATTGTTACTTGTCACGTTAAGTGTCGTCTGCTCGCGTGCTGTATTTTAAGCGGGCTGGACGCGCACTGTGTCTTGTTACATCGGGCTGCGAGAGGTCAGAAGACAAAATATAGCCCGCTGGTGGATATATATACATATCACCGGAGACTCGCGGGCGGAACAAAATATTGCACGCGCACGCGCGTGCAATATTTCATATGTCCCCGAGGGCGCTAGCCCGAGGAGGACATATTTTCGTATAGCACGGAGGGCCCATCGGGCCCGAGTGCTATACGATTTTTCCGCCCGCGGGTCGAGGTGATGTGGATTATATCCACCAGCGGGCGTATTACAGTTAATATATAATTTTATAAATAAACAATGGAGCTTGTATAAAAGTCAACTCTAGAAAAGGTCGCCACTAATTGTTGTAACCATGGTAACACGTCACGTGTTCAATGTAAGCCAATCATAAAGGGCTGTGTCGTATATAGGGGCTGGAGATGCACTGCATTCCTGGGCCGTGGGAATAATGAATGTAATGTCAGTGACGATGAATATCAATAATATAGGGGGATTATAGTGCTGATGTGTATTATGTAGTGTGTTATAATAACTTTGATATAAATCAAAGTATCATGTCATCTGCTCACGAGCTGCATGAGCAGCCCTACCGGACACAAAAATAAAATGTATATAATATAGTCAGTGTAATAAGGAATTTCACATGGAGACGATACAGAAACTGAAAATATTTTAGAGAACTCCGGGCTATATTGCTACTGGTCAAATTAAATGTCACTTGTTAGCGGGCTATATCATGAGCGGGCTGTAGAGATATCGGGCCCTTTGACAGCGGGCTGGTAAGAGCCCGCGATGCAAAAAAGCGCACGCTGGTGGATATAAAGGTATCACCACATAACTTCAGATATTAATTTTAGGATAACTCTGTCTGAATTCTGAAAGGTACTCACTTGTTGAACAAGTTCTTGTCCGTCGTTAGTATCTTCGGGTGGCATTGTATATTTTCTGCGATCAAACGTTTACATGAATGTACCCTCGAGAAACACAAATAAGCATTTTGTCATTAAAAAATTAGAAATTTTGTGTTTATTAACACACTCAAAACACTAAATATGCTAACTGTATGTTAATGTACCATGAGTTGAAACTATAACTAAATAACTAAATCTCAATTTAACCAAGTTATGACCCTTTTAAAATATTGCAGATCAGTGATTTCGTCACCCAATCAGTAATCTCATCGGGAACTATATTCGCTAGCGAGCAACGATGAGACTCATTTATAGGCGGTAACGAGCATGTTGGTGGATTAAGATCTGATCACTGAGTGAATACTGATAGTGACGTAATGACGTTCCTTAAAACCAAAGAAATTCGCGTTATAGCGCTTCGGTTACTGTCCTATAAGCAGTCTCCAACCAATCAGGGCATTGATTGAGTGAAGATATCACTGATTAACTGGATCACGTATCTGCAAGATCTTAAAAGGGTCATAACTCGATTAAATTGTAAACAAACAATTTGAAATTTGAAATTAAATAAATAAATATATGATATGAAATGAAATGATGTATATGATTAGCCAACAACACAAAGAAGGTGGTCAACCATGTCAGAGCGGCTGACTGTGAGTGAAGTGAGCAAATGCAGTGTTAAAATGAACAAGAGTATAACTCAATAAAAGACAAAATTAAAACAACTTTTCTAGTAAACCACACTAAAAAGAACAGAAACCATACAATACATGTAGGTATATAAATAAAGGTTAGTACAGTGACATAATCAACCAAAAAGAGAAACTCAGAAACAGATCCTTGAAAGGTAGACATAAAATGGAGTGCGGTAAGAAAAAAACATCAAATATGTTCAGTAATGTTTTAAAATGTTTAGTAAATTTTGTTTCGTAACTGTATTTATTCAGGACGTTACAGAAGGTGTTAATTTAATGTAATTAGGAGGAGTCCTAACTCTCTTCACGTCCGAAAATGGCGTTTCTCTTGTATCAAATATTTAAAAAGTAATATAAAACCTTGAATTTTTCGTCACGTACAATGATTTTTCCTTAAGTTTAATTTAATATATTTTTATTGTAGTGACTAGTATATATATAGTATAGTTTTTACTATTATTCTCACCACAAAAGTATTCAAAATAACCTCAATTACTAATTAGGTATACCAATTGTTGAAAAATGATATATAAACAATACCGAAACGTAATTGGAGAGGTAGCACGCAAATGTACAGCAAAATATGTCCACCGCTACGTTATACCAGTACAGTCCAGCAGCAGGCTGAAGAGCAGGGTATCACCTTACTTATAGTGTAAGTGTATTAGTCTGAGATGTCCAGACTCCCCAATCCCCAGGTAACCTGTATGATGTGTGGAATTTCATGAGAGCTAGATATCCCCTGTATATCCACCAGCGTGCGCTTTTTTGCATCGCGGGCTCTTACCAGCCCGCTGTCAAAGGGCCCGATATCTCTACAGCCCGCTCATGATATAGCCCGCTAACAAGTGACATTTAATTTGACCAGTAGCAATATAGCCCGGAGTTCTCTAAAATATTTTCAGTTTCTGTATCGTCTCCATGTGAAATTCCTTATTACACTGACTATATTATATACATTTTATTTTTGTGTCCGGTAGGGCTGCTCATGCAGCTCGTGAGCAGATGACATGATACTTTGATTTATATCAAAGTTATTATAACACACTACATAATACACATCAGCACTATAATCCCCCTATATTATTGATATTCATCGTCACTGACATTACATTCATTATTCCCACGGCCCAGGAATGCAGTGCATCTCCAGCCCCTATATACGACACAGCCCTTTATGATTGGCTTACATTGAACACGTGACGTGTTACCATGGTTACAACAATTAGTGGCGACCTTTTCTAGAGTTGACTTTTATACAAGCTCCATTGTTTATTTATAAAATTATATATTAACTGTAATACGCCCGCTGGTGGATATAATCCACATCACCTCGACCCGCGGGCGGAAAAATCGTATAGCACTCGGGCCCGATGGGCCCTCCGTGCTATACGAAAATATGTCCTCCTCGGGCTAGCGCCCTCGGGGACATATGAAATATTGCACGCGCGTGCGCGTGCAATATTTTGTTCCGCCCGCGAGTCTCCGGTGATATGTATATATATGACGTTCAAATACAATACAAGATACAAGGGCAGGTCTCTTACGCAAGTTGGGATGGCATGAGGTGCTTATCTCCTTTTCAATAACCCTAAGCCACTCTGTGCCCAGGCACTATACAGATACTAGCTGTAGGGGGTTAGTCCTACGACATACGAGTCAGAGAGTGTGTATCACCAGCAAATCACAGCTTGATAACTGGCCGACTTGCATCCGACCGGAATTGAACCCGGGCCTTCTGCTTGGGAGGCGATCGTGTTACCACTCAGTTACACCACCCGGCCTTATGTGACGTACCTAGTTCGCTTATTACTGGGCAGCGCTCAGCCTGCCATATTCCGCCGTATTTTCGATCGGAGATGAGTGTATGAACACTAAGCCTGGGTCCCCAGGTGAAAATTATCCAGGGTACACAATACACAAACCAAACATTTCCCGCTTTTAATTATATTTAATTTTGTAAATATAACTGCAAGTTTCCATAAAATGAAATTTTCTGATCAGCGCTGATAATTCGCTTATTTGTTATGAAGCGCTTTATTAAAGCCTTCTATTAAATCTCTTTAAAAAACACCGCTGATACATTATACTCGTTTTTTGGCGATCGCGATTATAGGCGGTTCGAAAATAATCGCTTATAAACATTTATAAATATAATCGCTTTTTAATTTTATACGGGAAAGCGATTATAATTTCATAAAAGCGCCTAGAAAGCGCTTATAAGCTTATCATAATCGCTCTCAGCGAGAGATTTTCAAGTAGGATTGGTGATTATAAGCGGTGGAAAAGCGGTTGGCCAGATAAGCGATTCGTAGCTAGCATTTTGATTTATAAGCAATTATAAGCGCTTATGGTGGTGCTTGGCTCTACATAACCTTATACGCCAGAAGACAAATCTTGAAACTTATTCGTTCTTCAATGGGGAGAATGTGTGCTTTTTTCTAGTATTCAAGAAGATCTACATCACGGTCATCGATGTTATAGATGAATCGTATTCCAGCATTCAGTACAGATTTGAGCTTTTTCAGTGACTTCATCGGTAGGCAAACATACAGTGCATTACAGTAGTCAAGCTTTGATATGACCAGTTGCTTCACTAGCATAACTTTTAAACTTTCATCAAGATATAACGTCATATTCTCTTCAGATTATTTAGTGCCCACATTGACTTCTGTTTAACACTGTTTAGCTGTCTTTCCATGGTAAGAGCTGGATGAGGATCTAGTTTGACTCCTAAACTTTTTCAATTGTCACCGACACATTCTGTTGGCATCACTTCCGTACTCCCAAAATTAACAGAAATTTGATACTGTCCAAATTCTCTCAGAACCAAAGGCTTCCCAATGACTAATAGCTCTGTTTTTGACTCATTAAGTTTCATATAATTTTCAAGCATCCAGGCCCTTATTTCGTCAAGGCAGGCATTGATTTTGATTTTCATTCCACTTAGTTCTCCAGGTATTAGGGGTTCAAAAGAAATGTAGAGCTGCGAGTCATCTGCATATAGCTGAATACGGATCCCATATTTAAAAGAAGACATATTACATCAGATAGCTCCTGACCAACTTTGACATTGTATTGAAAGATCTTGTTATTCTTGCATGAAGATAATCCTCAAACGACAAACCAGCTGTTAGCTTTACCTGTGATTCCTAAGTCAGCTAAGAGTTTTCTGATAAGTATTTTATGATCTATTGTGTCGAAAGCTGCTGAAACTGAAAGGTCTAGCAGGATAGCAAAAACGTTTTTATTATTAATTTAGAAAAAAGCCACGTTTAGTCGCGGCAAATATGCCGATTTTGACCAGTATTATAAATGTGAGGTATGACATAAATCACATTTCTTGCACAAAACGAGCTAATTAACTAAAAGTAAAAGTTTTGGGGCACGGAGAGGCCCGGTATAGAGAGGAAGCAAAAAGATTTTAATTTGAATCAAAGAAAATAACAAAAGCCCTTAACCAGAATAATTATATTGTCAAGGTTCAATTCAACGTAATAATTAACAGGGTGCTAAATTGCCGATAAATTGGTTTCAGAACTAAGGCCTCGTAGTCAATAATCACTATACTAGTCACTATTATATAAAATAAATATTTTAAAGACTTTGATTCTTACTGAGCTGTGCCAACCTATATCTCTGCCATATATTTTATGTATTTATCCCTAAGATCTGTGTCAGTGATGCATTTCCTAATGCTAATTGCACCATAAAATCAAACTTTTGCTGATCCAATCTGTAATCAATAACAGGTTTACCAAACGAATTGTCATTAAGAAAATAGTATGCTTGTAAATGAGTTTTGTGCAAGAGCATAGTGTGGATGCAAGGATAATTTTCTATGTCAATTTTATTTACTACAGTAGGATTTTTGAAAGAATGTCTGTTCTTAGCTACTTCACTCATAAAAAAGTTAAGGAGAGTCTGAGAAAATACAATTCCACTTTGAGGTCTGAAAATATTTATGATCGGATTCCACTCAAACATGAGTTTCTCCGGGTGGAATTGTGTGCCATAGAATGGATATTTTTTGTGTTCGGTCATCGATGCATACTCTTTACCATCAAGGTCGAAACTTTTTCCCACAACATTAATCTTCTGTAGAACCCCACTGCGTTGAAGTTGATCAATCGTGAAACATTTAGTATGGAAGTAGTAAACGGATGGTTCCTTTTGTATATCTTCATAAAGCGGTCTGCTTATCTTTGCCAACATTCTGCTACTCTCGGAGCTCTAAAATGTAATTTATTATACTCATTATTCAACTCGTGAAATTAAAACTTTGTATGTTTATACGAATTATATTTAAAAAGTTTTCAAATAAAGTTCGTGGGTACTGAATTTTGAGAAAAAATACCTGGGTTGGACGAAATGGCAGTGACAGATCATAAGCTCTGCAATGTCCACGGAGATCCTCGTGCTGGTCTACCGTCCGGTTCGAATTTAAGAAAAAATTGGTCATGAACTGAAACCCAAGACAGATTCCCCAAACTGGGAAATAATCCCCACTATCGTTTGCTTCCATCGCCCATTTTATCAATTTACCAGCAGTCGTGTAGTACATACTTTGAGGAATTGTCTAAAGATGCAATTTGCAATTAGGATTTGGTTAATGATTAATAATACTATGTATAATCTGCATATTTATTCATAAACCATTTAAAAGCTTTTTAAATCAATAATTTAAAGCTAACATTTATTGAACCTGGTCATGTTTTCTCTAAGGCACCGATATCGGCATTTTTATTTCGTGATATGCAGGGGTGGTGGGATTTTCTCAAGCCCCAACTTACTCTGGCTCCCCCAGGAAAGACGATTCCATTTATAGAATCAAAAATATTCCTTAGATCATCTTCTGGGAGGTCATTTGGAATTGGTACAACTGTAGCGCCTGAAATTAAGGAAGTAATAAGGATAATCATTTGCGCTACAGTTCATGTTACGGCATCAAGATTACTGCTTTAACAAGTTTATGTTAGTCAAATATTATCAATTATGACATTTGGAGCATTTCAGAACTATTCCACTTGAAATGTCCGAAACACACTCGGCCCAATCTTGAACAGTAGTTTATAAATGAGACACAGAATATGAATATTTCCCCACGCCCCAAAAAGGTTGTTATTGAAAATACCTGCTGCCTGTATAAATCTGGCGTAAGATGCGGGGATGTAGGAGTTTCCATACCTTGCACCCAACCCATGCAGAGATTTTGGGGTTTCTGTTGCATAATCATGCAAAATAATTTGAGAAAGAATTCCTATCACAGGTCTTTGTGGTTTCATGCTTGCATTCTTTAATCTACCTCTGATTTCAACAGATTCTGGTAAAGGTACAACTTTTATTCTCCCAATTTGTGATTTGTGGTTTTCAATCAGGTTTGCAGTCATGAAACCTAAAATGACTGCGATCGCCATGCAACAGGCTTTAAAGAACTTTTCTGTCCATCGACGACATCTTGGTTTGTCAAAACCCACTTCCGATCTTGACATTGTTTGTGCAACCTGCTCATAGAAAAATATACTTGATCATGAATAATAGAATACGGCCTAACCAACCCTAATTTGTCTGGCCTCAATTTGGCAGGCCAAGCTAAGTCCGTCCAGTCCTAATTATAGCCACGCACGATCCGGATTTTACAATATTAGGAAAAGTAAAGGCAAATATCTTGTAAATAATGATACACTGCTTTTATTTCAAGCTGCTATCAGTATGACGATATTACTGGAATATTATGACTACCTTATCGAACGCAGTTTGACTGAACATTGTGTGAACGGACATAATTTTAAACAAACATTGATATGAACTAGAACGCTCGACGGCATTTTAAAAGCATTTAAAAATGTAACATTTTCTCATTTTTTGGTAACTCAGAAGAAATGAACGAGGAAGCTGAAACAAGTGATTGGCGATGTCAATATGCGATTTAGTCAAAACTTGTAACTTCTAATTTAACATTCTTTACAACAATTTGTTTTTATTGATTCAGTGATATTATTATAATTAACTCCAATGTAAATTTAAATTGACCAAAATTAAAAAGCTAAAGTATAGCCAGACCCGAAATTAAAAAGTATACAGTATAATCAGATCCCACGCAAATGTCGAATGAATAACTAACCTCCAGGCAAGTAAAAACATGGCTCAAGAAAAAGTGTCAAAGATAACTTCAGATGATGAATATAAATTAAACTTGGACAAAGCTCAGCTAAATAATAAGCTAGGTAACTCCAGTAATTTTACAAAAACAATAGAAACTTGTACAAAACTCAAAAGGTACCTTTGTTCTTTTGTTATTGCATTGTAAAAGACGAAAGATTTATTCGTGGTGCAATGAGACCCTTGTTAACTTCAGATGACAAACGGAACAGCTGATTAGTAAGCTTTGTTACTCCGGTAAATTGACTAAAACAAAAGAAACTTTACAATAATCAACAACTTTTAAAAGAGCGTGTCTATAAGTCTAATCATCAAACACACAAGGGGTATCATTGATAAGCCCTATTATAATTACTCTTTAGAAATTCAAATTGTTATCTGCCTAAATGTTGAGCTAAATCTAAGCGACGTTGATTTACCACCTATTACTGAGGTACATTTCTGTTGCAATATGACTAGTAATCGTATGAGCCTTAATCAGTGGCGTAACGAAGGGCCCCGCCGACATGGGGGCTCTTTTTTAGCCAACTGTAGCGCAAATTATTATCATTATTTCTTCCTTAATTTCAGGCGCTACAGTTGTACCAATCCCAAATGACCTCCCAGAAGATGATCTAAGGAATATTTTTGATTCTATAAATGGAATAGTCTTTCCTGGGGGAGCCAGAGTAAGTTGGGGTTTGAGAAAATCCAACCACCCCTGTATATCACGAAATAAAAATGCCGATATCGGCGACTTAAAGAAAACATGACCAGGTTCAATAAATTTTAGCTTTAAACAACGATAGTGGGGATTATTTCTTAAAGTAAAACTTAAGTTTAACTTTAAAGGAATTTTAGGACAGGGATCAGGTGGAGGGGACGCTTGTATCTTGTAGAGGTCAGCAGTGAGTCGCGGGTTACTACAGTTGTAGAGGCCTTATGATAGTAGTAGCTAGTAGTCACGTGAGCTCAGAGCTGTACAGGAATAATCGACAACTATATATATAAGTATAACCTTTCATAAGTATAACTATTTATAAGTATAACTATTTGGTTTCCGGCTTTCTGAATCGGCTTCGTGCGGTCCAGATACAGGAGGTGGAGATAGGGGTGTTGGGGGAGTAGCCGAGTAGGTTGATCCAGTAGGGCACACTGTTTAAATATATCCCAACACCCACGGTTTCGCAGCGAAGCCATCTAGTAAGGATGGTGGCTGAGGGTTGGGGTTTCCTCGGTGAGTTTATCTGGGGACCCCAGGCTGATAGTGTTCACAAACACGATAGAAGCTGCGGCGGAATGACGGGCTGAGCGCTGCCCAGTAACGGCCAGTTCATGTTTTCTTTCTTTAATTTTCTTCATGTCGCTGATTTTCCAGCAGTAGAAGAAGGACAGCATGGACTGAAACAAGGACGTGTGATTTTCACATTTCGATTCTATTCTACTTTAAAATTCGTGAGATTTAGATTTGGAAATATTCTGACAACTAATTTGTATTCAATCAAGACTAGTACTTATCTTCCTCATACCTAACTCAAACATCAGAAACTTTGATTTTACCTGCACAATAAAAAGAAGGCCCAACCCTTCAGTGGACTCTTCAAACGGGACGTAAAGAGACAAAATTCCTGCAAATATCAAACCTTAAACTTCTAATCAGCGATAACAAGAATTAAATATGTATACAGTATTGAAATGACTTGCTCTTACCTTTGTAATAAGAGTGAGCTAAAGCTCCATGCTAAAATAAGTAACATTGTTAGTAACAATCATAACACTCCTCATATCTCAGATTCCACGTTATCTTCCAATGTATGTTACTAGACGTCTTTCCAAATGATACTTATTTGAATCGTTATCTATCTGCGTATCCTTTACATCCTTCCCAATCAATAAGCTGGATATTGACATTGGGGTAAAAGTCCAACGTGATAAAATATTATTATTCATGTAAATAATGTCCCTCATGATAATAATAGTGTCCGTTCATCACGTAATAACAAGATTCTTATCGTCAATAAAATATTATTAATCATGTAAATAACGTCCCTCATGATTATAATAATGTCTGTTCATCACGTTATAACAAGATTCTCATTGTCAATAATATATTATTAATCATGTAAATAATGTCCCTCATGATAATAATAATGTCCGTTCCTCGCGTTATAACAAAATGACGGTCATGAATTGACTGTCATGTATAATATAATATCGTTATGTATCATATTAATCCAATAGTCATGATAAATAGTATAACATATTTGTATCATTTCTATCATGTCCCAAATGTCCTATTACCCTCTGAAATACCCCAAATTCCATCAATCCTCATCTGCGTCTGGTTGTCCGCTGACCTCTGCATCTTCGTACCGCTTCTTCTTCCCGTCCGCCTGCAGTAACCTCACTGGATTCCTAGTCCTCCCGGATCTCCGAACGGTTAGCGCCGCATCAGGTGGAGCTACCGGGGACTGTTCCATGACCTCCGGAACACCGTCGTTCACTTGAGGGTGTAGTTCATCTCGCTGGGGTTGTGTCATCGTAGGGCTGTCTGGCTCCGGAGCCATTTCACTGCTCACTACTCTCTTGTGCGTTTTCAAGTAGTTGAACCGTCTATCTTTACGCGTGCCTCTACTGTCCTTATCCACTGGCTCCATCGTGTAAGTATATCCGTCACCCTTGATCACTGTTACCCTGTACGGCTCCGAGTAGCGGGGGGATGTCTTCCCGCCTTTATTGCTCCTTGCTTCGTCCGTGAGCCTATAACGCACCAAGTCGCCTACTTCGTACGGGATTTTGCAGGGTCCTTCTTTCTCTGCTGATTCCACTCTCTCCTCTTGATATTCGACCAGGTTTGTTCGTGCTTGCTCAGTCAACAGTCTGCATTCTTCGTCCCTCTCCTCCAATACAGTTGTTCCAGGCTTCTTCACCTTATCCCTCTCCTGAGCAATCATGTCGTCTGGTCGGTTAAAATCCCTGCCAAACAAAAGCCTAGCTGGAGTAAAACCTGTTGTAGCGTTGATCGAGTTGTTGTGGCTCCCTTGTACCAGGTATAAGGCCTCCGGCCACTTCTCCCCATCGTTCTCGCAAAGGCATCTGATCTGGTTCATTAACTGGTTCTGCCTCTCTACTTGCCCCTGGCTCTGGGGGTGTCCCGGTGAACCCAACTTGTGTCTGATACCCGCTCTTTTACACAGTTCCTCGAACACCTCTGCAATAAAATGTGGACCTCTATCCGATCTCATCTTTTCCGGGATCCCGAAAAGACTTATCCATCTTTCGACCACTGCATCTGCTGCCGTTTTTGCTCTTGCATCAATGGTCGGTACAAAGATTATGAATCGACTAAACACATCTTGCATTTGGAGGACGTACCTGTATGGATGCTCCCTCGCTGTCTGGAATGGACCAAGAAAATCAAGCATCATCTCCTCCAGAGGTTTTCCGGGTATACTCGTCTTGGACACTGGCGCCTTGTTCGGGTTGTTGACGTGTTTGTTCAGACCACACTCTTCACATGCCTGAACGTATTGTTCTATGTCTTGCCTCATGTTCGGCCACCAAAAGTTATCTCGTGCCCTCTTCCAGGTGCGTGTGTTCCCCATATGAGCCGCTGTAGCACTCCTATGAACAAGATTCATAATTTTGTCCCTGTACGTCTTAGGAACTATTATCCTGTTCTTTTCCACTGTTCCGAAGGGGTTGCTTTCCCGCTTCTTTCCCCCGTTGAACCGTAATCTTAATATCCCCTCTGAGTCGATGAAAATCCTGTCCCTATGCTTCCACATCGCTTTGACTTCTTCATCGTTGCTCCCGCTGGGCTTCCTCCACGATTCTGATTCGCTATTCCCGGGGTTCAGATCTGTTCCTTTCAAAACCGCCTTACGCATCGTTTGTACTGCTGCGTCATTGCTCTGCTCGCTCAGGATCTGTTCTCGACTGACAGTTATCGCCTCCTCGCCTCCAGCGGTCATCACGACAAACACTTCGCTACGGTCTTTCACAGCTACATTTCCGTCACATTTGACCCGTGAAAGGTAATCAGCTATTCTCATCTCTGGGCTTTTCCCTTTCTTATGAGTGACTTTCATGTCAAACTGCTGAATCAGGTCTAACCAACGTCCCCTTCTCCCCGTCTCATTCTCCGGTTCAAGTGAACGAAGCCAACTCAGTGCTTGGTGGTCCGTAATAAGGTTGAACTGCTTGCCTAGATACACTCTGAACTTCACTACCGCCTTAACCATCGCCAACAACTCCTTCTCGGTAGCTGAGTATCCCTGTTCTGCTTTGGATAACGCGTGGTGGTAGAATGCCACAGGCTTCAGGGTATCCGGTGCTTCCATGCACCTCTGTGCCAGCATGGCTCCCGCTGCCATTTGACTACAGTCTGTTACTAAGGTGAATGGCTTATCCATGTCGGGCAAACTCAACGACACTGCGTCCGCAATCAATTTCTTTATTGTTGAAAATGATTCATTCATTTCCTCCGTCCACTTCAGCCGGGCATACGGCTGGTCCGTGATCGCATTATACAATGGCCTGGCAATCTGTGACAATCCTGGTAGCCACCTTTGCACGTAGCCAAACGCACCTAAAGCCCTTCTAAGCTCTCGTACATTATGAGGGCGCTCTATGCTCCTCAGTTGCTGCACTCTCTGTTCGTTTATCTTCACCATGCCTTCTTTGATGGTGCATCCCAAGTAACTGACTTCTCTGACTCCAAACTGGCACTTCTTCGATGCCAAGGCCAGGCCTGCATCCTTCACCTTTTCCAGCACCTTCTTGAGCCGTTTCATGAATACCTCCCAAGTTTCCCCCCAGACTAGGATGTCGTCCAAATAGCACAGTGCATCGACGAAGTTTGAACTCCCCAAGATCACTGACATCATCCTTTGGAACGAATATCCCGCACCTTTCAAACCAAACGGGGTTCTTCCTGCAAACTCATAATGCCCCCATGTTACTACAAATGCCGTTGTCTCCGAATCTTCCTTTCGTAGTGGTAACTGGTGGTATCCCGACTTTGCATCAAGGACTGCAAAGTACTTAGCCTTCCCCAGCCTGTCCAAAAGATCGTCAATGAGCGGTATTGGATGTAAAGTCGCTGTATTTGACTTCTCATTGGTTATCCGATAATCAATCGCCATCCTCAGGCTCCCGTCTTTCTTGCGTGCACACACTATGGGTGATGCCCATTGGCTGTTAGATTCCCTGACTACTCCTTGTTTGAGTAGCTCATCGACGTGTTCCCGGACTTCATCGGCTAACTCTTTTGACAACCTCCTCGGTTTGCTCACTACTGGTGAGCTGTCCTCTTTCAGCCTTATGGTGTGCTCCACACCCACTCTAACAATAGGCAGCTCTCCTCCCTTATAGAACACACCTTCATATCTGTTTAGAAGTCCTATTAATTGACCCCTCTTGCTCGGCTCCAGCTCACTGCACACCAACTCGCTCAATTCCGTTGCTTTGCCTTTCTTTGTATCCCTGGTGAACGCTTTACCCGCATTGTGGTTTGATACCCATACGGTCCCGAGTTCAACTGTAGCAATGGGATCCCCTTCTGCCAGGGTCACTTCTTCCTCTCCTAGATTTGCTACCCTGATCTGTACCTTACCGCTCTTTGTTCCCTGAACAATCCCGTAAGGTGTGCTTACTAGCTTATCGTCAAACGTTATTGGTTGAACCATATACTCCTTACCCATCTCCATGTTGGGGATGTAACATGTCACTAACGCTTCACTCCTGGTCGGGATCTTACGTTCGGCATCCACTACCACTTCCACTGAGTTCTCCTCCTCAATGGTCCCTGCGACGCTGCTCCTGCCTGCGGCTGGGTGGCATAGCAACTCTATCTCTTCACTGTTACCATTGATAGTCATCACACTCTTGTTGAAGTCAAATGATATGTTGGCTATCCTAGACCAGAAATCTATCCCCAATATCATCGAGCAGATCATCTTCTCAACCACAATGAATCGCTGGTGGGCAAAAGTCAGTCCACCCACAGAGACAGTTCTCCGTATCTCTCCCGTGACAGGTATTCTTTCGCCGGATACTCCTCTCCCACATAACGCCGATTTCTCCATTGTGGCCTTCTCCTGTTCTGTAAGTAAGTCCTCACATATTAATGACCACTGGGCCCCTGTATCGAACAGTGCAGTTTCCTCAACTCCATTCTCCCACTTAATCCTAATATATGGTGTCGAGTTCAGACCCTCTGAAGCGATCCCCTTCATCTGTTGTAACTGCTTCCGCCGTCCTTTACCACCCTTCTCAGGAGTAATGACCCGAAACTGGGCTCTGGCACATGCCCAAGGTTTCACGTCATGCTCCTCCCCTTCTCTGCTGCTAGGTTGCTCTCCAGTATTCTCCCCGCCCCCATCACTCTGCCCGTCTATAGGGGGCTCTACCGAAAATCCGTACCCCTTCCTCTTCCAGCCTTGTCACCTCTTCTTGCCGGTCTCCACGTAGGGTCCTCCTTCTTTCGCACTGCGCAGTGAAACCATCCCCCTCGGTGTTTCTTTTTACAGTAGAAGCATTCAAGGAATTCTAGTGGTAGCCCGTCTGATGATTCACCACTTCCTCTCGAACTGCTGCTCCTGTTTGACCGGCCTGACTCGCCGGACGATTGCTTCCTCCTGTCTCCAGCATGTGACGATGACTTTTGCTCCCACGCGCTAACCGAATATTCTTGTGCTGCGTTGATGCTGCCGGTCTCCTTACCCATGGCTTTTACTGCGTCGTCCGTCTTCTTTGCTATATCCGCTACCTTCAGGAGGTCCTCCAGGGGTTTCGCCTCTTGCCGTGATTTCATCCAGCCACCCTCTAGCAGCTTCCGCTTGATCCTCTCGTCCCCCAATCCACTAACAAACTTCCATGCTACCCTTCTGTGGAGGTCTAATTGGCTATCTCCGTCGTATGCCTCTTTCACCGTCATTTGCAGTCGGGTCATGTAGTCGCTGATTGTCTCCCTGGGCTCCTGGATACTCTTCTCAAACCCAAGAATGTTCAGTTCGATTGCCTGTACATTCGTGAATTTATCCTTCAACTTACTTACAAGTAATTCGTCGTTACTTGTCCACGGATTCAGCATGGAGCTCGCAAAACTCACGTAATCAAATGCTTCCCCTTGCAAACAAAGCGTCAGCTTCCCAGCCCTGTAGGATGGGGAGTCCCACCCTCTCAGTCGTGCCCGCATGTTCAGCTCTTTGACCACTTTATATCTCTCGATTAACCTTCTCATTGAAACTGCAGAGTAGTCCCCGTCGTGTCCGAAAGATAGGTCTATCCTCTCTTCCTTTCCCATCGCGTCGTACGGCGTCCCCAGTACTTCTTCCTCTACTGGCTCCTGTTTCACCTTGGTGCTTCCTTGGGCCATTTCTCCGCCATAACTGCCCGTCAGCATTGTACAGGCTAGTACTGTTTCTGCGCAACTCTTCTGAAAGTACTCCGCCTCGACATTGTCATTCGCCAAGTCCTCTTGGGCCAATGTCATCCGCTGGAGCAACTCTACTGCTTCCTTGTTCATTTCCTCCCACTTCGCTTTATTCTCCTGGATCCGCTCCTGAACATTGCCAGCATTCTTCTTGATCTCCCGGTTCTCTACTTCCAGGGCTGCGATCTTTTCCGACATTTCCTTGTTGTTCTTCATCAACAAAGCCAAGCTGGCTTGGACCTCTTTCATCTGTTCATCCATAGCGTCGTTCGTATTCACTTCAGTCACCAATGAAATGACTTGCTCTTACCTTTGTAATAAGAGTGAGCTAAAGCTCCATGCTAAGATAAGTAACATTGTTAGTAACAATCATAACAGTATGACCGACACAAAAATAATGTTGACTAAAAAATAATAATTTTGACTAAAATAATTAGATTGATATCTCAGACAGTAAAATAACCTGCAAAAACGGAACCAATACAAGCGCCGAGTGGGAAACAAGAACAGTACACAGATACTATCGTGTTGGCTGCTTAGACGGAGATCTCCCCTCCATTCCTCAACTGAAATGTCTTAGTCTCATATCCTTATTAACTCTTTTACTAAACTGATTAAACTTTAAGTAACGAGTAAAATCTTGTTATTTATTTAAAAAATATTGCAGCTTCGACTATTCGAATAGAGTACATTGCGACAAAAAAACTTTTATCATATATGCAGTTATTTTCAACATGATGACTTTTGCCATGGTTACTTTCAACATGGTTATTGGTTAATGTCACCATGATTACTGTTCTATGGTCACTGTTGTCATAGTTACTTTTGCTGTTGGTTGCCATAATATTTTATAACGGTTACAATGATATAAATTACCTTATAAACATCAATCATGATAACCAGTATTGGAGTGGATCCCATTGGTACAAAGAATCCCAGCAGAGCCAGGACCAACATAACCTGCATTTTAGATGTTGCTACCGGAGGTGGAAATAAATACATACTTGATACTATAGTGCATGAAGGACAGAATTTGTAATTTTGTATTTTATCAATATATTTAAACTTATAAATTATGAGCCTTTATAGAACATATCATATTAGAAATAATTCTAAAAGGCAAATATGAGTACTGCTCTTATAACTTAGCTACGTTAGTGAAGGCTTAAACTCACATGAAATAAAGGTATAGGTCCAATGAACATGTAAAGGAAAGGAAGGATTACGGCTGAGAACATTACGAAAAAATAAGGGTTGAATCGGTCGATTAACCAGCCTGGAAATTTGAATTCGGTAGTAAGTTTCTTCTCGATATTATATGAATAGTAGATAAATAACAGAATGCTCTTATAGGGCAGGATTGTCTATAGTGCTGTCGCGAAGGTGCGCCTATAGGCAGTACGTTAGCAGACGATAATGATGGTGCTGATTTTGGTTGTTGAGTGTAACTACTAACCTAGAGGAGGTGTGCATAGAATAGTGGTGCTGGTGTTGACGAGAAGTGCAAGTCCAGTCCATACCACTGTTTCTCCCAGAGCTCGCTCCGCAAAAGGATCTAGTGTTGGGAGGTGGAAATAGAGTAGAACCTGAGAGTTATTATCACATTAACATTAACATTATACACTGAGACTGCATTGACCAAGGGAACGGTATAAGGGAATTAGAGCACAAAATGATCAAAATTTACTATGAAAAACGAGTATAAAGTATTTCCTTGTGTTTGAAGATCAAGAACAAAAAACCTGACAAGCAGCACAGTGCCATGCAGCCATCATTATCCAGGGGTCCTTGTACACCTTTATACTGTCGTTAGTGTCAGTTTGATCAGGCAGGGTGTTAACATGTGGTATGGTGAGTTCTAACAGCACATTGCAAGCCACTATAACACCTGGAACCCAGAACGCTAGACTGTGGAGGGAAGGGTTTAAGAGGTGAAAATTACGGTAAACGTACTGTTGTGCGAAACCTGAAGTTCGACAAGACCCCCTTTTTTCGCACTTGAGTTCGGTTGCCAGATCATGTCATATTTCCGAGAGCAGGTCAGATCCTATCATTCTAATGGACCATTGAGTGACCTGTCGGGTCGGTTCACGCCACGTATGTCAAAGTGATCCACAAAGCAGGAAGCGTACTGAAATTGTGCGACCGTGTCGATCTTGGAGGTTTTCGCACTATAGGGTACATGTTGCACCTTAGTACATGTCGCACTACAGTATATGAATTGGAAATTACTTGGTTTAAATAAGTTGGAACACTATAATTTCGAGAGAATAATCAGTAATTAAAAGTACCTGTAACCTCCAGCGTCACATTGCAAGCTATTATAATACCTGGACCCCAGAACGCTAGACTGTGGAGGAAAGGGCGGAGTTACTTTAAGAGGAGGAAATTACTTGGTTTAAATGAGTTTCAAAGAGTATAAATCAGTAATTAAAAGTACCTGTAACCTCCAGCGTCATACAGCAAACTGCCCATGAAAGGTCCGAAGGCTTGTGCCCCGTTCAAAGCAGCCTCCGCCGTAGCTGTAACAAAAGCAATTCGGGTGGGGATCATTTTGGCGAGCACTCCAAAGGAGGGAACGGAGACGAGTCCAATTGCGATGCCGGCTACCACTCGGAAGGAACAGGAGAGAACAATGTAGAGTATGTTGTTCGTGATTCTGTCGAAGAAACTGAAATGTTGAGTGATTAGACATAAGTAGATGAAACAGATGTCAGATGTCACCTCTATAGGGAATAAAAGAGGGGAGATTAGAGGATCTGAAGTCTTTTTGATCGTCCACTTTCAATTCAATAAAATTATGCCTCCTATTTCAGGTACATTCGGTCACTGCCCATTTTCCCATATGTTAGACAATGAATCGTTTAGACTTAGAATAGGTCTTTTTGCATGCAAAAGGCCTCGTACACAGTCAAGAAATGCACATATACATATCAACACGTTTATGCCTAACAAAATTTACACATTTAATTCTCCATGCACCCCACACATCAACTACAATTATCATAATCATATGTTTCTCTTCTATTCTCTCATCATGACTTACCTTCTCCCAATTCTTCTCTCCACGACTAGTTCCATGAACACCGTATTTCCCCTAGATTCTAATATTTATTCCTCTCTACTCCTTGACAGCCCACGTTATCTTATACCATTTCTTGCTTGCTCCCACATCAAACTTTTCTTTGTAATTATCTCCTCATGGTTTATAAGGAATATTCTTCTCCCTGGTAAGATGAATAGAGTCAAGTATTCCAGCCGCCTCAGGCGTCTAGTATCTTTATTCATTCTTTGGGTTTTCTCTCTTAACTTTCTTTTGATAACTCTTCTTAATCCTTCTATGCTTAATCCAGGTCCCAACTCCCTATCTGCACTCTACCAAAATGTCCAAGGTCTTATTCCTTTCAGTAACCTAAGCTCCTCCCATCCCCTTCTTGATGGTAATAAGATTTCCGAACTTCAATCCTTTGCTAACATAGAGCAGCCTGACATAATTGCCCTAAATGAGACTTGGCTCAAAAAATCTATTTCTAGCAACGAAATCTTTCCTTCTTCTCAATATGAAATCTTCCGCAATGACCGCACGAGAAAGACTCATCCTCAAGATCCTAATAACCCTAAAAAGTTAAGGGAAAATGGAGGTGGTGTTCTTTTGGCTGTTCGGTCTGATCTCGATGCCACTACAACCCGACTACCAGTTAGCCTAGGTGCAGAAATGCTTGCCGTTAAAATTGCTTTTCCTAACAAAGAGAGTATTGTAATCTGTACTTGTTATAGAGTAGGAACTCTTGGGTTACCTAATCATGATGTCATAGTTAGTTATATTCGCAAGCTAGTTTCCAAAAAGAATCCCCCTAAAATCTATGTTATTGGTGATTTTAATCTCCCCCATACAGACTGGCTATCTTCATCCAGTACCGTACCTATTGAACAATCCTTCATAGATTCTTTCAGTGATCTTTCTCTCTCCCAGTTGATCACATCACCCACCCATAAAAGTGGTAATACATTAGACATTCTTCTCAGTAATTATGATAACACAATCGATAACTTGAATGTCTGTGATCCTCATTCCGTGTGCAAATCTGATCATTTTCCTGTCACTTTTTCAATTAAAAGCTCCTTTTCCCGCAAGAAAACTCCTAAACGTAAAATCTATAATTATAAGAAAGCAAACTGGGACATGATTAATCGTGAATTATGCTCGATTAATTGGCAAGTCCTAGAATGCCTAGATCCTGATTCGTCTTGGAAGTTAGTTAAAGACTGCATTATGAATTTAGTTGATATACATATTCCTAAAGTAACTATTAAATCAGAGTTTCAACCCCCGTGGTTCGATAGTGAACTTTTTTCTGCATGCCGTAAAAAAGATAGACTCAGAGCTAAATTTAAAATTTCTGGTTCTATTTCTGATGAGTTAAAGTTTGTTACTAGCCGTAAAGATTTTAAGAGGCTTTCATCAGCCAAAATAAGAGACAATCTTTTCAATAGTGATGATCCAGCGCTTATAACTAAGAAGTTTTGGTCACATGTTAAGTATAAATCTAACTCCTGCCGTATTCCTAATTGTGTTAGTTATTCTGGACAGCTTCGGTTCAAATCCAAAGCTCAAGCTGAACTTTTCAATTCTTTCTTTTATAACCAGTTTTCGGATCCTTCACTTTATGACACTGACATCTCCTATGTCAATGATGTTGATTTTGATATTGACTTCGATCATCGGGATGTTCGTAAGCTTCTTTCAAATATTAATTCAAATAAAGCCCAGGGACCAGATGGCATACACGGTAAAATTCTCAAAAATTGTTCCGTAGGTTTAGCTTACCCTCTAACATGCATTTTTCGTGGATCTTACAACAGCGGCTACATTCCACAAGAATGGAAACTTGCAAATGTTGTCCCAATATTTAAGAAAGGTAAGAAAAGTGAGGTTGAAAACTATAGACCAATATCCCTTACTTGTTTAGTCATGAAAGTTTTTGAGCGCATTGTTAAACGTAAACTGCTTTCTTTGACAAGTACCCTTCTTGATCCCAGGCAGCATGGTTTTCTAGAGCACAAGTCATGCACAACCAATATGGTTGACTTTTGTGATAGCCTGGCATTGTCTTTTAACGAAAACATTATCAATCATGTTGTGTATTTTGATTTTGCTAAGGCATTTTATTCTGTAAATCATATATCCTTCTTCAAAAGCTAAAAACCTTATATAACATTGATGGTACACTTCTCAAATTTCTTACCAATTACCTTCAAGGCCGTTACCAAAGAGTGGTTATTGGTAATGAGATGTCATCTACCCTCTCAGTTAATTCTGGTGTCCCCCAGGGCTCTATTCTTGGTCCCTTACTTTTTGTATTGTTTATCAATGATAATTTGATATTCCTCTTGGCCTTTCGGATAATACTGATATTGTTTTGTATGCCGATGATACAAAAATCTGGCGTAAAATACATTCATCTTCTGATAATACTAATTTACAAATGGATATAGACTATCTCTCTGACTGGGCACTAAGAAACAAAATGCGATTCCATCCAGCAAAATGTAAAGTGCTTATTGTTTCAGGAAAACCATCTTTATCTCCTCCATTCGCATATAATCTTGATGGCTCTCCTCTTGTGTATGTAGAGTTAGAAAAAGATCTTGGAGTCGATGTTACTCCTAAGCTAAGTTGGAATAGTCAGTGCGACAGAATTTATACTAAGGCCTGCCAACAACTTGGTATGGTCAGAAGAGATGGCCATATTGTCATTGATCAGAAACGTCGCCGGGCGCTTTACCTCTCCCTGGTTCGTAGCCAATTCGAAAATTGTTCCATAATCTGGCGCCCTTGTAATAAATCACTTAGTGATAAATTAGAAAGTCTCCAAAAGAGAGCTATTAAATGGATTCTGTCTGAAGAGGGCCGCAGTTATCCACCTGAGCAATATGTCAAAAAGTGCAAGCTTGTCGACATTCTCCCTTTGACTTGAATGATCTTATTTTTTTCCACAAAGTTCTTAACAATTTAATTCCTGTATCGCTGCCTCACTATCTCTCTTTATATCAGGGCACTTCTCGACTAAGACGTTGCCACCTCGACAGTCTGTCTATTGTGTCATCAATTTTACCTAAGTTAAGTCAGAATTCACACACCACATGTACCTCAAATAGCCCACTGGCAAAATCATTTTTCTACAGAACCCATATACTGTGGAATGGACTCCCTTTACAGGTAAGACAGATTGTGTCTACTAGTCTTTTCAAAGCTGAGGTCACTAAGCATCTATGGAAATGTTTATTGGATAGTGAAACAACAGTCTAGCCTAGTCTCTTTGCTCCCCATATTATTATTATTATTTTTGTTTTATTAATTTTTTTATCTACCTTCCTATACTTTCAACATCATATCACACTTCACCCGCACACCTTCTCACACATTAATGACCATTTCAGACCTGTATCTAATGTATCTGGAATTTGACATATTGAAATACAAATTTTGACTCTATATCCACAGTTATTCACCATGGATTTGTTTGTTATTAAATAGTTTTTCATAAATTTTTGGATTTAGATTAATTCGATGTAATGGGTCCAAGTTACTGCGGACATAGTTCACTATGTGTTTACCGTGTTTGGGTGCCCATCATATTTTACAGATGGGGGCGATATTTTGAACGATTCTATTTTATATACATCTATTGCTGTACTCTGATCTGTAAAATTTGAAAAGTATTTAATAAAAAAACCGCTATTTTCACGAGCCTATTAACGATAAAGAGAATTCCGAGAGCACCGGAACCAGTCATCAAAATCGGCAGGTAATTGAAATGTTCCATCAGCTGAGCAGTAAGGAAACAAGATATGAAGAACCTGAAATGATAGAAATGAAAATCGATATATAATATTAGAACTGAATTAATAAACAAAATTGTCAAATCAGAGATGAGATATGAGAGATCGGATTGTGCTGCATAATAGCATATACATGTTTGTTTCTGTCATCAAACAAGTACAACTGAAGTAATATCTTAATATTTACCCGACTGACACAGCGCCAAGAATAACTCCGTCCCAAACCGAGGACACATTCCTGTCAGCGTGAAAGAAGGGCAGAAATGGGGCTGGTAGAGAGTACAGAGTAAAGGCCAGCCCTGAAAAATTGATAAAACATAAATAATATTTATTATTTGAAATATAATATAAATAAAGTTAATATTAAGCTCGCCTTATAATAGCACTGTTACAATTATAAGGATAGCGAAAGTTAATTTTATCTAACGTTTCAGATGCGAATAAGAAGTGCAAATGTGACACTTACCTAAAACCACTGTTACGACAGTGAAAGCGTATGTCAACATGGGTTTACTCAAATTGTGAGCCTTTTTTGCAGTTGGTCCAACTCCTTCCATAGTGCAAGCCAATGGTATTGGTACTACCTTATCGGACCTTATTTGGACGGACATTACTTGAACGCTGGAGGCCCTAGCGTTCATCTTAATGTCCGTTCAAATAAAGTCCGTTCAATTAATGTCCGTCCAAGTTAAAGTCCGTTGAAATTTTTTCAAAAATTTTTCCATTTCGAACTTTTTGTCCAGAATATGACAACTTTGAGAACTTTATTGTGCCGTAAGTTAACGACGGAAAGGTTCTCCTTGGTCTGCCGGAGGCACAGAAAACTCTACTACTACTAGTATACCTTATCGGACCTTATTTGGACGGACATTACATGAACGGACATAATTATAAACGGACATTAATATGAACGCTCGAAGGCATTCAAAACCATCAAAAATCTGAATTTTTTTCAATTTTTTTGACGTTTTTTTAAATTTCAGCAAACGATTTTTAAATCCATTTTTTCTACAGTAAGTAAGAAAAGCAGTCATTGAGCAGGAAAATGTTGAAATATATGTACATGATCAGTGTCTAATATCACATATCATCTTCATCAAATGGGTTTTCGTGCATGAAATAGTCCATGCTTAAAGCATCAGTGATTTCTAGCTTTATGGAAACCTTTTTTATCAAACTACCCCGGTCCTGCATTTCAGTGTTAACTTTTACAAACCATTCGGCGTGAAGTGGTTTTATCTTAGACAACTTAAGGTTAACCTTAACATCACGTGGAGCTTTCCTAGCACTGTTCCATTACCTCCCCTGAGTAATATGAACTATAACAACGTCGGACAATGTCCTTGGAAACACGATTTACCGTAATATCTAGAGGCTGGAACAAGTTTGTCATGTTGGCGGGGACTAGTTCATGAACTATATTGTTGAGTGCCATAATTTCGTTGACTTTTTTCCGCCAAGTGACCCTTGAAAACATCATATACTAATAGAATTTTCTGTGCCTCCGGCAGACCAAGGAGAACCTTTCCATCGTTAACTTACGGCACAATCAAGTTCTCAAAGTTGTCATATTCTGGACAAAAAGTTCGAAATGGAAAAAATTTTGAAAAAATTTCAACGGACTTTAACTTGGACGGACATTAATTGAACGGACTTTATTTGAACGGACATTAAGATGAACGCTAGGGCCTCCAGCGTTCAAGTAATGTCCGTCCGAATAAGGTCCGATAAGGTATGATGTTTTCAAGGGTCACTTGGCGGAAAAAAGTCAACAAAATTATGGCACTCAACAATAACATAGTTCATGAGCTAGTCCCCGCCAACATGACAAACTTGTTCCAGCCTCTAGATATTAGACATTTTCCGACGTTGTTATAGTTCATATTACTGAGGGGAGGTAATGAAACAGTGCTAGGAAAGCTCTACGTGATGTTAAGGTTAACCTAAAGTTGTCTAAGATGAAACCACTTCACGCCGAATGGCTTGTAAAACTAAAAGTTAACAATGAAATGCAGGACCGGGGTAGTTTGATAAAAAAAGGTTTCCACAAAGCTAGAAATCACTGATGCTTGTTTAAGCATGGACTATTTCATGCACGAAAACCCATTTAATGAAGATGATATGTGATATTAGACACTGATCATGTACACATATTTTAACATTTTTACTGCTTAATGACTGCTTTTCTTACTTACTGTATGAAAAATGGATTAAAAAATCATTTGCTGAAATTTAAAAAAAGTCAAAAAATTGAAAAAATTCGGATTTTTTATGGTTTTGAATGCCTTCGAGCGTTCATATTAATGTCCGTTCACAATTATGTCCGTTCATGTAATGTCCGTCCAAATAAGGTCCGATAAGGTACGTAAAGAATTTATTTTAATCGAATGAAATGTTTGATCCCAATCCAATCGTATTTGTGACAATGATAGCCGATGCAATTTTATTTGTCATGTGCAGTTTTGTCGATTGGTGCAACAGTCAGCCAGGTAGCAACTGTCATACAATTTGAGACCATTTCGTTAGGCTGCAAATAAAAGTGTAAAACAGTGTTTTAACAGTTTGCCAAAACTAAAAAAGTCAAGTGACGTTCTGACGTTACAGCGCGCACTCAGGGCGAGTGAATTACTGAACTCTGAAGTGAAGCCCTTAATCATAACAACAACCAACAGTGACTATTCAAGGTTATACTGAAGTTTGTTATAAAATTTCCACACAATCCGTAAGCCGTATAACTATATTTGTGCATACATCGGTCAAAATGAACCGTTCGATCGAATTATTGAGTTCAGTAATTACAATTTTCAATACGTTTGTGCTCGCTTATCGGTTACACTTACTTATCATTACGTTGATAAGACTTGCTTGTTTAACCGGTGCCGTGGTTGTGTAAGCAGTCGACACTTGCTTCCCGGTTCGAAGTTTATTTGCATTTAATTAAGGGTTTGGACAATGGAAACGAGCGTGATAATAAAGGGTAAACAAAGTTAAACTATGAAACAATACAATGAATAATTCGACAACCTCTACTTCAAATCCTAATTAACCAGACTCGTATCGCCCATAAACGCTCAGCGATCTAGTGCTGCAACATAAAACACGGATAGCACGGTCAACTCGCCTTGACCGAGCCTAATCTAGGTGCCTTGAAATAACCACTGTCGATTCTAAACCTCTAACGACACGTTCCATCCGTGCTCACCAGGCCCCAACCATAACTGGTCCTGGTCCCTTACACTAGTCTGGTATCAACCATGACCCTCTATCGAATAGGGTGAGAATGCAAACAAGGGGTATAATAAAGGTGCCCAAGGTACTTAACTGAACAATGAATAATCGAATATTTGCTCAACCAACGCTTAGTCACTTAGACTCATATTGCCTCAAATGCTGTGCAACAAATTCCTAATTGCTCCGATTCATACTGCCTCAAATAGTACGTAACCTACTTCCTGCCGTTAATCCTACTCTTAATCTAGCTTTACCTATCTGAGTCAACCATTGCTGACTCTCGCTCTGCCAGAGCCCAGTGTTGTCAAGACATCCCCTGGTGTCGGCCACAACCAAGCCTGATAACAGTAATTACGTAATGCTCCACTATTCTACGGCCGCCAATCTTATACTTACCACTATAACCATCTACCTAACTAAACGACCTAACCTTAACAGGTTCTAGCTACAGAACCTGCCCGGTATCAAAATGACCCCCCTCTCGATCGGGTAAACTGGCACTCCTGATCTCAAAAGGCTAATCGTATTTTCCTCTCGCCCCTGATAGTCTAAACAATCTACCAATTCCCGGGAATTGCAAACTGTCCTGTCGATAGCCACAACATAGTACCACTAGTATTCTGTAAACACTCCATAATTCAACCTCGTACTGACCCAAACATATGTTAAACTGACCTCTCTGCACTTAAACTGCAATAACTGTCGTATACTAATATATGCCCAAAATACTACCGTCACATACTGGACACCACGACCGCCTTATTATAATCATTACACTACCTACATATTACACAATATTACCCTAAATTCATCTCAATTAATCACGGTTTACACAACTTTACAAAATCTGATCTTTCTTAGAACCCTACTATACTGGTACAATAATTTAATGGAAAATCTCGTAAAAATCTTGCCCGATCACAGCTTACACAACTTTACAAAATCTAATCTTTTTTAGAACTCTATCATACTGCTGGTACACTAACTGAATGGAAAATCTCGTAAAAATCTTGCCCGATCATGAAAATTTGATCTTTCTTAAAACTTTACTATACTGGTATACTAAAACACACTTTCTAAAACCCTTTTTCTGCTCTTCCTCAACCTTCCGAAATACCATGGAGAGCATTTAAAGCCCCACTATAATAATTTAATAAAGTTTCATCAAACTTAACAGCTTACTTCATCTGTCTATATTGTCTTTCGTCTCTTATCCTCTCCGTCTCGTTCTCCGTTCCGAACATCCTCATCTGGATCCGGTCTCGAGTCTCCGTTCGTCGTTCAACATATCTTTTTCTGGCTCTTGTTCTATGTCTCCACTCCTCGTCCAGACTATTTTCCTCTGGATCTCTCTCTCTATCTCTGTTCAGAATACAAAATGATGTTTAGCGTCTCAGTTCGTGGGTTTAGTGTCACAGTCTCTCTTGTACTCCAGGTATGTTATCCATCTTCTCCTCACCGCCCCTGTTGGGTAATACTCTCCGATAGTTATTTATTAAGACATTGTTTTACTTTTCATTTCAATATCGACAGTTCTTTCAGTTCCAAGTCATTTTTGATTAAGAGTGATTTATCTGATTTTTGTGATCAATGATATTGCACTGTTATTTCGATATAACTACTGTTATATAGTTATATAAATCTTATGACTCATTCTGACTGTTATATAAATTTTGTGACTCATCCTGACTCTGTATCTCCTTCCAGCCTATCCGCATTCTCCCGTAACTCGTCCCCGACCACTCTCTGTTTCCATTTATCCGCTCTCTGTGTCTCCATTTATCAGTTCTCGTCTCCGACCACTCTGTGTCTCCATTTATCAGCTCTTGTCTCCGACCACTCTGTGTCTATGTCTCCATTTATCAGCTCACGCCTCCGACTCGTCTGTGTCTCCATTTATCAGCTCTCTGTGTCTCCATTCATCAGCTCTCGTCTCCGACCACTCTGTGTCTACATTTATCAGCTCTATGTGTCTCCATTTATCAGCTCTCGTCTCCGATCACTCTGTGTCTCCATTTATCAGCTCTCGTCTCCGACCACTCTGTGTCTCCATTTATCAGCTCTTGTCTCCGACCACTCTGTGTCTCCATTTATCAGCTCTCTGTGTCTCCGTTTATCAGCTCTCGTCTCCGACCACTCTGTGTCTCCATTTATCAGCTCTCGTCTCCGACTACTCTGCGTCTCCATTTATCAGCCTTCGTCTTCGACCCGTTTATGTCTCCATTTATCAGCTCACGTCTCCGACTCGTCTGTGTTTCCATTTATCCGCTCTCTGTGTCTCCATTTATCAGCTCTCGTCTTCGACCACTCTGTGTCTCTATTTATCCGACCACTCTGTGTCTCTATTTATCAGCCTTCGTCTCCGACTACTCTGTGTCTCTTTTGATCTGTTTGGAGAGGCGAATCATACACAGTTTAGGCTCTTGAAATCTTCGAATTAAAAATCATCTTGAGAGAACCTCCTAAAATTATTTGTTATATAGTAGTGTTGAAAGTAAGACTGGTCTCCATTCATCAGCCTTAGTCTCCGATCGTACTGTGTCTCCACAAAATGATAAACTGATTACACACCTCACCATATCTCTCCTTTGGTATCATCACAGTATCAATACTAGACTCTGTGTTAAGAGAATCATGTGATTTTTTCTGCACTTGACACTCACTGAGACGCAATTGAATTGTTGTACCTTCTGGTTCTTTCACCAAGTTCCAGACGTTGATGTCTTCCTTCCTTACAGAATTTTCTTTCCATCCAGGTCCAATTACACTTGCTCTCTGCCACACATCGTAGGTATGATCTGCTGACTTAATGACATCCTCACTCTTAAAGTCTAATACCTTATTCCTCTTGACTACAACATCTACCCAGTCTTGATTCTCATCAGACGAGAAGCACTCTGAAATTCATCAGGCTCACTTGTGTCTCTATTTTCATCACCGACACTTTCTGACTTCACTTATTCACTACTGGTCTCTACATTACCAGATTCTTCTATTGAAGTTTCAGTTTCACTCGAAAAACTTCCACTCCTTCTGCTGATGGTTCATTGCTTACTTCCTCTGATTCATTCGGACAGAATTCATCTTCACTGTCACTATCACTATCAACAATCTCCTCTTTCCTTACACTCTCTTCCCTACCAGTTTGTTCAATGGTATATTTCTCTGATTTCATATTTTCCCATAACATGATATCTGCCACATAATGACCTGATTTGGTCACTTTCAGTTGTTACCGTTCTCCGCCAATCATAATCTGATCATTCTCTATGTCTAATGATACCCCCAGTTGCTTCATGCTACATCTAGAAAACAAAAAGGGTAATTCTCCTGGCTCCACAAATGTTTCTAACATGAAATCTCTGTTACATAACTTGACGGGTAACATGACACATTTAATAGATTCAACCGCGCGTCCGTCTCCAAAACGAAAACTCAAGTTTCTCTCGACTTCGCTGACCTTTTTCTTCAACTCTTCAGGCATTGACTCTAAGAATGTGTTCAACCAAACATCACCACACACATAGAACTGGTTGTCCCAGTGTCAATCCACACCTTGTTCAATGTCTCATTGACTAACAGCACTGTCTCACAGTAGTCTTTGTCAATTTTGTTTGATTCTTTACCATTCCTGCACGACTGATACACACACACTGAGCCCGAATCCTTCTTTCGAACATCATTAACATTGGGATTATGTTGACAATCTGCCCGGAAATGCTTATTTGAATCACAAATTGAACATCTTGCTACCTCGCCTGTTTTGTGACTGATAGCATTTAACTCATCTTTGTAGTCTGAGTTATTCCTTTCTTTTGAATTGAGCTGTTTGTCTCTTTCCCATGGTCTGCTGTAATTTCCAGATCTCCCTCTGCCATTGGAGTAATTGTTATAACCGCCAGAAGAGAACGATTTCCTTCATCCTTGTCCTCGATTATTGTATCCTTGATAGAATGTATATTCTTCGTTATCACCACTGATATCAGTATCCTTTTCATCAAACTGACCCCTATGGTAATGCACATCCGATCCAGGTTTTACCTTCATCTTCACTGTGTCTAACTCCATTCTGGATCTACGACAGAAAACAGCGTCACCGAAACACCTCTTCAAACATTCCTCAATTGCTTTACTTGTCAACTCTTGAGTCCCCATTGCAGCTTTGATCAATATCTGTTGATCTTTGGTCAGGTGGCCTGAGTTAACAACCTGTATGCCAACATACCCTCATGATAAATTTCTTTCTTGTCATTAAACAACTCTCCGATCCGGTTCAATCGTCTCTTGGACTCAGCGATATATTCTGCCATTTGCATTTGTTCCGGTCTAACAAACTTTTCTAGATCATCAATACCTAGAAATATACTCTGAGTATTATCCTCTTTAAAATACTTATCAAGCTCTGCCATCAAGTACCCCAAACCTTAAGTCTTCTTGAGCTCTGTCACATCTAAGGGTGTTGCAAAATCTCTTGCCTTGAAATCCTGGATCCTCAAGACACACACTGCAGCCTGCTTAGCAGCTGCTATCGAAGTTCCAAAATTCCAGATGCCGACTTCACGTTTCCACTTCAAGTAATCCATCCCCTCTGTCAACCAAGGTGGTTGGTCTCCTCCCATGTCTTATCAGTTATTCTACCTGCTACCAATGATAAATTTCTTTCGTCCATAGCTTTCTGTACAAGAAGATCTTGCCCTCTTTGGAGACCTCCTCGGCCACCGTGTCCTTGCGTACAATCCATTGCCATATGACCCTGTCTCCCGCATCCATAACAAGTAGGGGACTTTCTACATTCCTTTGCGAAATGTCCATGCTGTCCACAGGTGTAACAAGCACCGATGTCTCTTCTCGGCCGGTTCTCTTCCATCACTCGGTTTATCACTCCCTCATCCATCTCTATATCCTCCTCGATTTGAAACAAAAGCTCCTCCTCATTCTTCCCTGGTTTTAGGGCTACGACTCGCCAGGATCCCATCCAACTTAACTGCCCTCTTTAGCGCGGCCTCAAAATCTTGCACTCGTGACTTGATTAACTCGATCCCGATTTCATCCTTTAATACCCCAGCTGTAAATACATCTAGCCTGATGGTCTTCTTGATCTCCTCCTCCTCCGGTGCATATGCCTCATCTGCCATGTCAGTGACTCTAGCTGCAAAATCCGAAATTGTCTCTTCCTCTTTCTGATGCATCTCAAGAAGTCTCTTCCTGCACCCGCCTTTGAATGCACATCACATAGCACCTCTGTTCTCCTCTCCAAACTCGCCTCTACATTTCTCTTCTCGTCCCGGGTTAATCGTAGGGTCTCCACTCTCCTCTGTGCCTTGGGTCCAAGTACGTCATGATCATGTCCACCAAGTCTTCATCCAAGATGTCTGCAGCTTTGGCAAATATTTTAAACCCGCTCAGGAAGGTTCTTAAGCTGTGTTTCCCCAGCACAAACATCCGAGGTTTCATTAATGGGTATTTCTTACCCGCTGCTCTGTTCGCTTCTCTGATTCTCCTCTTTTCGGTCTCATTCTCCTGCATAGCTTCTAACTTACCCTCTCTGAATCCATCTCTTCTTAGCTGTGCTCCCTGCTGCCTCAATTCATCATAATATTGAGTCCTTAACTCTTCGTTTACTAGCTCAGCCTCCTGCTGCGCTCTCATCATTACCTCATTAGCTATCTTTATCTCTGCCAATTCCTCTCTCGTTTGCTAGCTCAGCCTCCTGCCGCGCTGTCATCATTACCTCATTAGCTATCTTTATCTCTGCCAATTCCTCTCTCAGTGCCGCTTCCCTGACTCAAATTATTTGTTATATAGTAGTGTTGAAAGTATTAAAATACAATACAAACACTGTCTCTCTCTCTTCAACAGTTCCTCTCTCAGTGCCGCTTCCCTGACTCAAATTATTTGTTATATAGTAGTGTTGAAAGTATTAAAATAAAATACAAACACTGTCTCTCTCTTCAACAGTTCCTCTCTCAGTGCCGCTTCCCTGACTCAAATTATTTGTTATATAGTAGTGTTGAAAGTATTAAAATAAAATACAAACACTGTCTCTCTCTTCAACAATGTACTAATTAAAATACCAAGTGTACAGGTCAAATGTAATAATTAAAGCTCTCGCTTATCAGCTCTCTATTGCTCGGTTTTTACTCTAATTGATAAATCAGTGTCTCACACCGTCACTCCATGACATAATCTCAGTCAGTTCCTCATATTCAACTATTCGGACAGTCAATTCAACACTCTCTTCGCAGAAAAGTAGTCCTAATTTCTTTCATCATAGAAAATACCATGCCCCGGCACCCCTCAAATTTCAAAACCCCTTCAAAACGTTCCAAGTTTTCAAATCAATACACCGCTCTAATTCCCTACAAGTGACGTCACCACTCTCCGAATAACCTCTCTTCAACCTCCAATGCTAGCATCACCCGGGTCTTATTTATATAATATCTCTTCCTCTATCTATTCCTCTATCTCTTCCTCTATCTCTTCCTCTATCTCTTCCTCTATCTCTTTCATGATATCACAATACGTAGCGCTACTAAAAGAAAACAAGTCTGACACACTACAGAACGGTTCAGCAGGCAGCCACTCCCACTGAGGCTCTGGTGGCTGAAAGTATGTCAAGTCTGCCGTCTTAAAACTTAAAATAAGACCCGGTTATCCATGAATCAACTCATCAAAACACTCTCTCGAACCAATCCCTCAACGGACGGACATATACTCCTCAAAATAACCCCTCATAACCTGTGCCTCTCCGGTATCTAACCCCCTTTCCCTTCCATGATGAAAGAAACCCCAAAAATACCATTTAAACTCTACACTTCACCGAGCATTCATTTACTGCTCTACTGCTCTTGCACTGCACTAGTCTAACAATGGTAACTGACAACACTGTATAATATTACGTTTACGTACATATTTACAAATACTCCTGACCTCTGTCGACTCACTCTCACACACTAAATAGTCTCCATTACCTTAATTAAAATACAAAACAAACTATCCTATTATAAAATAGGATCCTACCGTTCGCGCCACTTGTAAGCAGTGGACACTTGCTTCCCGGTTCGAAGTTTATTTGCATTTAATTAAGGGTTTGGACAATGGAAACGAGCGTGATAATAAAGGGTAAACAAAGTTAAACTATGAAACAATACAATGAATAATTCGACAACCTCTACTTCAAATCCTAATTAACCAGACTCGTATCGCCCATAAACGCTCAGCGATCTAGTGCTGCAACATAAAACACGGATAGCACGGTCAACTCGCCTTGACCGAGCCTAATCTAGGTGCCTTGAAATAACCACTGTCGATTCTAAACCTCTAACGACACGTTCCATCCGTGCTCACCAGGCCCCAACCATAACTGGTCCTGGTCCCTTACACTAGTCTGGTATCAACCATGACCCTCTATCGAATAGGGTGAGAATGCAAACAAGGGGTATAATAAAGGTGCCCAAGGTACTTAACTGAACAATGAATAATCGAATATTTGCT